CAGAACTGGCCGAAGTGTGTGCTCGACGACCTGAAGGCATTCGGGGCCGACCACGGATCTACGAAAACCGATCCATGTTGTCTCGGAATCCCGGTACCGAAAGACACGGCACCGGAGATAAAGTGGACGGAAGCCGCGAAGGTAGAGGGAGGAGTACCCTGGCATGCGGCGGTGCTGCAGGGTGCTGAGGGGTTCATGACCTCCTGGCACGAGAAGGAAGAAGAGGCCAGCCGACAACGGGCGCTCAAACGAAACCACAAGCCACCAACCAATGGAGCGGGAGGGGGGCAGGAGACGGACGAGACGGCAAGGGAAGAAAGCAAACGAGAAGAGACGGACCGAGTGGCGCGATAGTTGCCGGATTGTATTCCTTTTAGCCGATTCCCCCCCCCCAACGCTGCACCATTGCACCAACCCCCCACTAGTGATGACGTACCATTACAATGTATCGCTGGTTGATGGCTATGTTTGCGTGTTTGCTTGTCGGTAGTGGTCTCTCCACCGTGTGCCTTTTTCTGTCTTGTTATTTTCGGCCTGGTCCCTTTGTGTCCTCGCTCTTTGTATTTCATTTTCTCTTTCCTTATTATATACTGTTTCCTTTTGTTTTCTTCTCTTTTTCTCTTTTTCTCTTTTTCTCTTTTTCTCTCTTTTTCTGTGCCAGATGGCCGTGTTTCTGCTTGCGTTGTGAAGTACCAAGATTGAACCAAGGGGGTGTACCTCATTCTCTCCGGCCCGTGATAGTGACCCCTAGTCTCAGTTGTTACCTCGCATAGCGCGCAGAGGGAGTGGAGGACTCCAGAATATCTGTCGTTGATTTCTATTGACTTGCGGACCGGGGCCATTTTATTTGAGTGTACCTTTTTAGGGTAAGTTTGCCTGCGACCACGGGAATCGACCGCGTCGAGTGTTGTATCAGTACGGACATACGAAGGTACTGGGTAGAGAGAGATCGGAACGGTTTTTAATGTGAAGACAACAACAACAACAACATCAATCCTATCATATGCACTGCTGTTTGTCGAGATGAGGTCGGAGTACACCTTGGAGACCACTAGTTACGTCGGTTGTGCTTCGTACACAACAAGAAGGAGGGCTCACGCTTGGTGAGGGCCCTATAACGCACGAAAATATTTTCGAAAACAAACAAAAAAAACTTTTCATCACTTCCACCATGTTAGACCGTGTTAAAATCGGTTCAAGAGAGGTTTTCTCGTAAACCGAACGTTCGGTTTAAGAGAAAACCTCGGTTAAACCGTATTAAGAGAAGGTCGTGTTTAAGAGAGGTTAATACGGTTTAAACAAGGTTTTCTCTTAAACCGAACGTTCGGTTTAAGAGAAAACCTCGTTCAAACCGTATTAATTATGATAAGGTCGTGTTTACGAGAGGTCTTCTGGGTGATGCACACCCCACTCTTAAACCGTAGCCCCCACCGTAAGGAGTTTTTTTTCTTTGACGTAGGTGAACAACCACAGTTTGTTCTACTTTAGCAGGTCTGCGCATCCATACCCTTTTCGGCCTGAGTACGAATATGACAGAACAGAAAGAACAACGTACTCACTGGCAGCGCCTCTTTGAACAGATACCACTGATACTAAGAAAGACACCTACCGGCAGCTCTCTTACGCCCAGACGCTGAAGAGGGTCGAATGCCGGAGCGTTTAAGCCACGATCCGACAACGACGCCTACTGTTCGCGGGAGCATTGGCAAGGCAGCCGGACGGGCGACTCCCGAAGCGACTGATGTTCGGCGAACTGGCAGGGGGGGAGAAGCGACGTAGGGGGGGGGACAGGAGCAGAACTGGCCGAAGTGTGTGCTCGACGACCTGAAGGCATTCGGGGCCGACCACGGATCTACGAAAACCGATCCATGTTGTCTCGGAATCCCGGTACCGAAAGACACGGCACCGGAGATAAAGTGGACGGAAGCCGCGAAGGTAGAGGGAGGAGTACCCTGGCATGCGGCGGTGCTGCAGGGTGCTGAGGGGTTCATGACCTCCTGGCACGAGAAGGAAGAAGAGGCCAGCCGACAACGGGCGCTCAAACGAAACCACAAGCCACCAACCAATGGAGCGGGAGGAGGGCAGGAGACGGACGAGACGGCAAGGGAAGAAAGCAAACGAGAAGAGACGGACCGAGTGGCGCGATACGTGCCGGATTGAATTTCTTTTAGCCGATTCCCCCCCCCCAACGCTGCACCATTGCACCAACCCCCCACTAGTGATGACGTACCATTACAATGTATCGCTGGTTGATGGCTATGTTTGCGTGTTTGCTTGTCGGTAGTGGTCTCTCCACCGTGTGCCTTTTTCTGCCTCTTATTTCTTGTTATTTTCGGCCTGGTCCCTTTGTGTCCTCGCTCTTTGTATTTCATTTTCTCTTTCCTTATTATATACTGTTTCCTTTTGTTTTCTTCTCTTTTTCTCTTTTTCTCTTTTTCTCTTTTTCTCTCTTTTTCTGTGCCAGATGGCCGTGTTTCTGCTTGCGTTGTGAAGTACCTAGGTTGAACCAAGGGGGTGTACCTCATTCTCTCCGGCCCGTGATAGTGACCCCTAGTCTCAGTTGTTACCTCGCATAGCGCGCAGAGGGAGTGGAGGACTCCAGAATATCTGTCGTTGATTTCTATTGACTTGCGGACCGGGGCCATTTTATTTGAGTGTACCTTTTTAGGGTAAGTTTGCCTGCGACCACGGGAATCGACCGCGTCGAGTGTTGTATCAGTACGGACATACGAAGGTACTGGGTAGAGAGAGATCGGAACGGTTTTTAATGTGAAGACAACAACAACAACAACAACAACAACAACAACAACGCGCTCACTGGCAGCGCGTACACCGCACTGTCAGTGTAGAGATGATTCGTTGGGCTACACACAAGGAGAGATAAAACGGAAAAAGCTACCTGTGCAACGATCGAACCCGGTAAAAACAAACCGCTGTGCGCTGTGTAGAAACAACACGTTAGTTACTGCTGCTGTGGTGCGCTCATTCCTTCCATGATCGTTCCGTCGGCAGCGCGCGTGTTTGTTTGATGGATAGACTAGACTAGACATCGACCGCGAACCGGCTGATGATGAAAAAATACGTCAGTCTTGTAGAGGCATAAAAAATGCACCGCCGCTAATGTGTGTTCCACCTGTCCCTGAGCTCTCCGCCGCCCCGAACTCTCCGCCGCCATCCGCACAACTACTTCGTAGGAAGCAACATACTGGGTTCAGGTGAGTGGACGTGCCTGCCAACCAGGATCGGTTGCGTTGAGCGGCACTCACTTCTGCACCGCCTCCCAAAAACGTTGTTTGGTTGCTTGCTCAATCGTGCTGTGCCTGCCGACCAATTGCAATGCGTTTATTTTGTTTCGAGCTGGAAGAGAGGGTGGTATCCTATGGTTGGAGCGGAAAGAACCGAAGCATATGGTCCGTTCGGGCAAATATTCACAATCTTGTTTTTCGCGATATCTTTCGAAAAAAAACGATTTGGAAAGTGAAACAACTTTGGGCGTGACCGCGGCGTTGAGCTTCGTCGATATCCGATGAGTTTTTGGTGATTGGGTGAAATGTGACATTTTGACTCACGGAGCCCCCACCCCCCCACCCCCTCATGACCCCACGGAGCCCCCAAAGTACACCACGACCCCCCCTCAACCCCTCCCTTCTACACGTATATGCCTTCAGAACATCAGTTAAACCGTTGTCAATCCATATTTACATTATTTACACGTTACATATGTACATACATACAATACCGCCGTTTACTTTCTACTCAACCAATGCCTGGTGCAGGTGCTGCAAACAAAGCATGCAGCAATCACATCCGTTCTCTNCTTACAATTATTTACACGTTACATATGTACATACATACAATACCGCCGTTTACTTTCTACTCAACCCCTGGCTGGTGAAGGTGCTGCAAACAAAGCATGCAGCAATCACATCCGTTCTCTCTAAGCAAGTCCGATACCAAGAGAGACAGCTATAGCGTTGAGTTGGTGACCATGACGAACGCCTCTACCGCGCCTAAACGCGAGAAACCAACACTACAACACACCGCGACATATAGATACGTACCCTCCCCACTCACGCCTGAGCGTGCCCGCCCAACCATTTCCTCAAAAAATTCATCGTGTTGCGCAAAATCCACAGCCGTAGCTGCTCCTTCCGGGAGGCTCTCTTGCTCGTCCACGTGTTGATGGCTTCCCTGGTCGCTGCCATCGACTGCTTGCGCACTTCCTGCACAGCCGCAAGCGCCTTCGCCTCGGCTGCCTTCTTCTGCTCCGGCGTCTTCCCCGCCCCCCTCGCCTGAATCACGGCATCTCCCCTGGCGGTGGCTTCTCGGTGCTTCCCCCACTCCTTGAGATCGCGGTACTCGAGGTAGTCCTCCAGGCCCTCGTCGTAGGCTTCGATGTACAGCCACGTCACCCTGCTCCATGCGCGGATAAACCGTGCGGGTACGCCGCTCAACGCGCCGGGCAAGACCTGGAGCATGTGGCGAAGGGAATACTCGCAGTGGAGGCGGAGGAGGTGCTTGATGTACCCCCAGTATCGCTCGATTGCGTTGAGCTCTGGGTGGTACTTCGGCAAGAAGATGCACAGGTGCCCGTGTGCCTTGAAGAGCTTCTCAACCATGTTGAGCTCCTCCCTGAACGCCTTGAGCTCAGACAGAACGCGCACGACGCAGCAGCGACGCCTCTTGCCTGCTTCACCAGCTGCCCCGCTCCCACCCGAGTCCCCGTCCTTTTCGCCATCCTCCTTTCCCTGCCCCGTGTTGTCCACCACCTGCTGCCGCTCCTCTCCACCGCGGTTGAAGGCGGTAATGGNGCTTGTCGCCGACCCTGAAGGTGGTGTGCACGGGGTTCCCCTCGTCGTCCTCGAAATTGCGAAGAGCGCCCTGCGCTCCCCCTGGCCTCAGGGCAACGTGCTCACCCACCAATGCGCCGGCGCCGAACGCCGAGTGCCCGGTAGAGTTGTCGAAGACCATGACCAGCTGCCGGTGTGGCTCGCTTGTCAGCTCGTGGATGGCGATGAGCCCCGGAATTGGCTCCAACATCCGTGCGCAATTCCAGTACCCGTCTTGGTGTTGCCCTACTGTCATGATGACCACCGCCGTCGAAGGGTCGTTCTCCGTTTTCTTCACCTGGCAGGCGCCGGGAATCCCTTTCAGCAGCTCGACGGCATCCTGCACGAGCTTCACGGCATGGCCGTCCTTCCCCTCGCCCTCTTTCCTGCCGAAGTAGATCCCGGAACGCTCGTAGCGTCCGGGAAACACCCGATGCGTCGGCGCCTCCCCGTCCTTGGGAGCCGGCCGCGCGACCTCAACCGGGTTCTCCTTATCTTCGACCACGTTCATGTCTTCCTGCATCATGCCCCAGGCCTCCTTCCCCATCGCTGCGACCCCTCTATCCAGCCCAATGATGTCAGAGATGTGCGCGGCGCGTCCTTCCCCCTTCTTCTTGATGGCGGCGCCCTTCAACACCGACACCCACTGGTTGCTGCCGTCGTCGTTCTCCTTCGCCGTGGTCTCGTCGTGAAAGTAGAGGGCGAGGACCTCGTGGTCGGGCACCAAGCAGAAATCCCCTCGCCCGTCCCGCCCCAGCAGGTCACGCGGGTTGAAAGGGACCCGCGAAGAGCTGTCAAACGGCTTGCGTTTGCAGTCGCGGCACTCGCACCGCAGTGAGACGTTGAGAGCGTTCGGTTTTATTCGCACGCAGACCCCGCAGGGACGCTCGCCGTCGTGGACGTGCACGTGTTTGTACTCCGTCTCTCCATCCACGATCCGCCGGGCTGGCCAGAAAAGCGCTTCCTCCTTCTTCTTCTTCGCCACGTACAAGTCGCGCACTTGAAGATCGGGCACCAAGCTGTAGTCCCCCTTGCCATCGCGCATCACCAAGTCGCTCTTGTCCACCGGTACACGCGTGCAGCCACGTTCCCCCCCCTCGGCCCGAAGTTCGCCGTGAACTAGCACGTGCTTGACGTCCTCCTTGCCGTCCGCCGTGCTTCGAACTGCTGGCCAGAACAGCGGGTCCGAACCGGTTGCGCATCCCTCAACGACGTCGTCGTCGTCGCCTCCCCCAGTAGATGCGCCCCCCCCTTCGGGCGCGTCGCGTACTCTCGCCATCGTCACAGTTTCTACCTGGACGGGGCTGTCAACACACACGGGGAAAAAAGAACAAAAAAAATGTTGGTACGTGTGTCGCGGTTGTCGAACGAGACGATCGAGACAAAGCTACCATGTACTTCAAGAACACCGCTATTTGCTTGGTGGTCCCGGCGGGGGGAACACTGCTGCTGTTTCCTTTTTCATCGCTCTGCCGGGGGAACAAAAAAAATGGACGAGAGGGGGAAGTTTTTTTTTTTCAACGATCCTCCCGGGGTCCAAGCTTTTGATTACTGGCCGGTCGATTTTTGGGGGTCGGGGGATCACAAGGGAGACTACGTTTATCCTGTACAGCAGTGCGGTGAAAGAAGCACGCCACGATTATAGTTTTCCGGTGATTTTCATCACCAGCAACCACGTACAGGAACGTGCCAACCCACCAAAAGAAAAAAAAAAGTACCAGGTAGCGGCGCGGTATCAAGCTCAACTCTGGCAGTCTGGTTTGGTCGTGCAAGGCACTGAACGACGCTAGAGGACAAAAAACAACAAACAGCTTGTCTCCGCCTGCCCTTGAACGACTATTTGCCGCAAGTAGGAGCCTGCCCCGGGCCAGTCTCTCCGCGCCACTCACATGGACATCATCTTTCGCAGGATGAGCATCTTCGCCACGTACTCCCGCCGGGCCTCGACGACATCCGGGCGGTTGTGGCCATCGACGTAGACGCACTTCCCGCTCTTCTTCCACCTGAAGCCGAGTCTGCAGATCCAGCTGTGCGCCGTTGTCCGAGAGATGCCTCCTCCGCCGGAAAACACTTCTTTCAGAAGAACAGTGTTCACCCACCTATTTTGCAGTGGAGAGGAAAGCGGTAACAGAAGAGAGTTGGAGAAATTAGTCCACATGTATCCACAACACACGGGCGCACACAAGACGAACACAAAACCAACGCCGTTCAACCCAACAGGAACACTAACCGCGCGCTCTCTCATTTTCACGTCCGTCCCCTTACCTCTGAAAGTCCGAGACACGAAACCGCGGATCCGTTTTCTTCCGGCGGTAAAGCCGCCGGTCGATTTCCTCCCGGCAACGCTCGGCGATGTCCTCATGGTCGATGAAGGAGTCCGCCTGGCTTATCTCGTAAAGTCGTTTTCTGATGAGAAATTTTCCGTCTTGGCAGAACTCCTTTACCCACTTGCGCACCGTCTGCGCTGTGGTTTTCACCACATCTCCGACGTAGCGGCTGTGCCGCATCTTGTTGACACCTTCCTCAATCCTGAAGGCAACGACGTCAACATGGGAACGATGGGTGCTTCACACAAGAATATTCTTCAAGCCTTCGGCGTTACGACTCTGAAGAGAGCATGGCAGAAATACACAACGTACCCCGTGCGCCCGGTCACACATAGGAAGAGGGTCCAAAAATGCAACAAACAGATAATCACCAAACGTACCAGCTACACATGCTACTCGGCAACCACTTCGCCAGGGAACATGGTATGTATGTACAGAGCACGCCACGAACCAGAGGGCAAGGACGATCTCAAAGAGCAGAAATGCAGCAGTGCGAGCAGCAAGCACACGGCGCTTCTTGGGCGTTTCCACTTACTCGAGGACAGCGTACGCCCGAATCGCCAAGGCGGTACGCATGATGGACGGGAGACGAGATTCCGTCAGCATTTCCGTCGGGTCCTCCACAATACCGCTGTAGCTGTTGGACTGCTCCGCCTGTACGGAGGTGTGCACAGAAATTGAAATTCAAGCAATCAAAACCGGGAAGGCGTCAGATTGAGGGACATGGCTGCATTCAACAGTTGACAGACAAGCAGGAATGGTTTGGCAGTGGCACTAGCTCCACAACAAATCCAGGATATAGGAAACAGCAGCCACGAGGGAAGCAGTATGCTAGCAGCAAACTAATCAACGGCAACAACACTACCACGNGGGACATGGTTGCATTCAACAGTTGCAAATTATTATTGACAGACAAGCAGGAATGGTTTCGGCAGTGGCACTAGCTCCACAACAAATCCAGGATACAGGAAACAGCAGCCACGAGGGAAGCAGTATGCTAGCAGCAAACTAATCAACGGCAACAACACTACCACGCAACACTCTGAAATACATTGCATACTTATTCACCTTGTCTATTGCGTCCACCACTTTCTGGTAGATGTCCAAGAGCTCTTTCTCTCGCGGCGTGTTCTCCCGCCTTCTCTGCGCTTTGAGTGCTCGCTCTCGCGTTCGCTCTCGCGTTCGCTCTCGCGCTCGCTCTCGCGCTTCTCGCTCTCGCGCTCGTTTTTCCGGTGTCTTCTTCCGCTCCTCGCGCCTTCTGTGCTTCAATCGTTTTTTGTTCAACCCCGCAAACCTCCCCTTGGCTCCATCCCCCGAAACCACTCGTGTTCCTCGCCCAGGCCCACTGCATCGGCCGCGTGCCCCGTCTCGTGCGCGGGCGGGGTCGGCGTACAGCCCGTCGAAAAGGTTCGTCCTCGAACTTTTTCGGACGGTCTCACCACTTGTACCGCTAGAGGCTGCGTGCCCGGCTCCTCCCACAGCTGCTGTTTCGCCCGTGTCTCCCACAGCTTCTGTTTCGCCGGTTTCCTGAGGCTGAACATCATCATCAGCCTTGTCGCCGCTCTCTCCGTCAAGTTCGCCGGGGCCGCGAGAGCGGTCGCGGCTTGCGTCTAATGCGTCGAGAAAACTGTCCTCGCCGCTGGAATAAAGAAGCTCTGCAGCTCTAGCCTGGTCATCCTCATCAAACCAATCTTCCAGCGGAACACCAACAACCGAACATACCAGCATGTCGGTCTCGCTCTCGCTGCTGTCGCCACGGCTGGTGCGGTCATGTTCTTCTTGCGGGCTGCAGATCTTCTCGGCATCATGATCACTGCTGTCCGCACCAATATCTCCCACCTCAACATCCATCTCCACCGCACCTCAATCTCGCACTTCAGTCTCCATAATTTGAGGCGAACCATGCTGCCCTCCCTGCTGCTGAGCTGGGGGCTTCAGCCATGCTGCCAAGCTCTCCGCCATCCCGGCGTCCTCCTTGCTCCACCGCGCTCGCCTGTGGCGATGCTGCGTCGACCGGTCGAGAGGTTGCACCGCGTTTTTTCGCGCAGACGGCGCGACTTCGGGCGCCACGGCCATTGCTGTGCGAGCTGCTGCAGACACCGCAGCGCTCGCTGCAGAGCGAACCGCAGAACCGAACGGCAGTTTCGCCTGCCCGCGACCTGGCTCGCCACCCGCATCCTCATCGCGCCAATCGTCGTCGTGGTCGTTGGTGTGCATGGGAAAAATATTGGCGCCTTCATGGTCTAAAGAGGGAGGAGAGTCGTTGCCTACAGCATGGTCCGCAGGGGGCGAAGGGGCCTTCCGAATCGTGCCGTCGGCGTTCCTTCCTTGAAACGTCGATTTACGCGGTATTTTCAGATTTCGGAATAATAAGTAATCCCAGCACTTCAGACAGCAGCTTTGTGCCCCGCCAGCTGCTTGTTCCATGCCTACCATGGTGTTTTTGTACAGACAGCACTTCAGACAGCATTATGCTGTAGTCGGCAATCTTCCGTTTTGGTATAGAGTGGGACAGGGAGGGGGTGATGCTACTGTAGTCGAACGGTGGGACGGACGTGCAGTTCAGTTTTTGGGCACGCATACGGTGCTGCAGGGATTTTTAGGTGTACCTCTTCGGGCTCTTGGATACCTTTTTCTCGTTATATGTGTGCGTGTTCTTTAGATCCTCAGATGGCTCTAGCACTTTCGTGACCACGGGCTGAGAGTCTTCTGCTAGATTTTGGCATTTGGCAACTGACATACGGTTTAATGTGAAGACAACAACAACAACAACTCCGAGAACAGTGCACCTTTGTGCAGGGGAAAATATTGTGAATTTTTCCGGAAACGGACCATACCTGCGGAGGAAAGGGCCCGTCAGATGTATATATTCTAAGTCATGGACCATAGTGTAGGTTTCAAGATCGGGTACTTTTACAAATCTGGAGAAAAGTACCCGCAGTAGTATCCCGGACTACGTGGGACACGGATGAAAGTAGCCTTGACCTATCATCAACTGGGCGCGTTCGACGCTTCCAAATACTACGTACCCAACGGAGTGCCTTTTCGGCCACTCACGGCAGCAAAATTCGATCACACAAAACACCCACCCACCTCTTGCGCGGCAGGTTGAACACTGACTGGTCGATCGTGTTAGAAGAATCGTTTTCTCCTGCACAGGAAAGTGTACATACGCATAGCTGGCTCGTATCTGAGGACAACCCGAACAACGTAGTCCTTCCTAGTCGTGGGGGCGGGAATTGCCGGATCCGGGACGATTGGTTGGCCGGAGTGCAGTATCGAAAAGCAGAGTGCAAGGGGTTTGGGGCTACAAATTGAATGTGCCACGCCATGTTTTCTTCCGGCGGACCCTTGCGACCCCCCCGTCTTGGAAAAATTCTAAAATGGCTACCAAACTGCCTTGTTGAGCCTGTTACCCACACGGGAGATATCGGTGTATGCTTTCTGGGAAACCGTCGACATACAGGTAGCCTTTCGCTCACGCTATGGTTTCATTGCTAATCTATCTTGGACGTATTTCCATAGGTTGAGATGGATTTGTTGTGTGATATTACGAAAAAAAAAAGTCTGTTCTGCCCGTTTGACATGCGCACGACCAACACGGTCGTTTTTCATCCAACGTCGGATCCATCCTTGTTTTCTGATGGGTAACGTGTACAACATCTTCTACCTGCCGTATCTGCACGCACTGTGTATGCATCCTCTTGCGTGGTGTACCACGTATGTGTGCACGTGGCTTCCGACTTCATATTTCCGATGGGGACCCCTCCGCCGCGAGCTTCGTTTGCATTTCGTCCGTGGGGCTGTTCGATTCGCAGTTTCGCCGCCTGTTTTGACCAGTTGGAAGATTCTGGGAAACATTTGTATCTGTGTCCCAGGTGTCGCAGAATTTGGACAATGGGTTTGCTATCGTCCTTCTTGCTGCTGGGTTGTTGCCGGATAACTCTTCGTCATTGCATGTTCCCCAACCGATAGGTATGGTGTGGGCAAGAGAAGCCTCTCCCTCGTTCATCCTTTGGTTCCTGCACGAAAAAGTCTATCCGTGTGATGAATGTGACAAGACAATTTCTTATCGCCTGCGAGCGGGTCACGATGAATATGGATCTATCCCAAACTTCACATGCCCGTAACACCAGTCCGACGACAAACCAGGAAACGTTGACGAACGCGCACTGAGGTGGTCCTGAAAGCGTCTCGGGAGGGAGGAGATAATTTGAACTGGAGTGAGGGCAACACCAGGCGCTTGGCACTGAGAGTGAGTGCTGCCGTGACACCTTATCCATGAGAACCTCCTCCTACAAACACACCTGCGCAGCAGGCGGGGTGTTTTTGCTGCCTTACCCCCACTGATGCTTCTTGCCCGCCCATAATGAATCATTGTAGGCAGTCGTAGTTGAGATTGGGAGAGGATGCGGAACAGCCTTCAACAGCGACCGTTGGAGTTACTCACAGGTGGCCAGTGGGCACGGTTGTACGGGGGCGTTGTGTAACCTCCGGCCAACCAGGGGTTATTACATGGGATAACGTGGGGAGGTTACGGCCGAGCGAGCATAACGTACCAGGTTATGAAAGCGGTCATGCGCGGATTGGTGTGAATGAAGGAGGAGAAAAGAAAAGAATATGTGAGCTTTAGGATTGGTGTGCAGGAGGACAAGAGAATAAACTATGTACGAACAAACTCCTTCGTGTGTGGTCGAAGATGGACTGCGTCTTTGTACAAGCCCAACATGCTATCATGCACAACATACTGCTGCTGCCGTTCACCTGTCGCCGCCCTTCCACGTCTACCTGTCCATGAGACATGCTGCCACTTGATGCGACAACATCTGGGAACGACACGGACACAGGGAGTACTCCCCCTACCCATACACACACCGTCAATACTGCTTAGAATATAAGCGAGAACAACCTCTCATTCCTCTCTTTCCACATACATACTTTTCTTCTCGTTTCTCTTTCTCTCTTTCTGTGCCAGATGGTCTTGTCTCTGCTTGCGTTGTGAAGTACCAAGATTGAACCAACGGGGTGTACCTCATTCTCTTCGGCCCTCCTAGTCTCAGTTGTTACCTGGCATAGCGCGCAGAGGGAGTAGAGGACTCCAGATTATCTGTGGTTGATTTCTATTGATTTGCGGACCCCTGGGGGCAATTTTATTTGAATATACCTTTTTAGGGTAAGTTAGCCTGCGACCACGGGAATCGACCGCGTCGAGTGTTGTATCAGTACGGACATACGAAGGTACTGAGTAGAGAGATATCGGAACGGTTTTTAATGTGAAGCCAACAACAACAACACACGAATGATGTACATGCATGAAATGATACACTCTGTCTTTCCTAATGGTCCGCGCTGCATACAAATTAATGGGAAAGGTAGCTATACCTTCTGCCGACACACGCGGGCGAGAGAGGCGACCATACCCACTGCATTTAACACACACCCACATGTCAGTGATGAAACCCCAACCACACGCCTCTATCGGCGGCCACGTCAGGAGGCAATGATGAGATAACGTTCTCCCGTGCCCTTCTCATATTTAACGACATGCCTTACACAACAACAAGGTGAATGAATATGTTCTCCCGCGCCGCACATGCCCCCATACGTCACACACAAAAAATAAGTTGATGACGAAAATATACACACCCCGAGACGCGGTTGCTCCGCAAACACATAAGGGTGCCATAATAGAACACACCCGACAAACCGAGTTCCCCTAAATCTTCCGTCTACAACTTCCCAACATAACATACACATAGATACACAAGATGGCTACCAAACTGCCTTGTTGAGCCTGTTACCCACAGGGGAGATATCGTTGTATGCTGTCTGGGAAACCGTAGACATACAGACAGGTAGCCTTTCGCTCTCGCTATGGATTAATTGCTAGTCTATCTTGGACTTATTTCTATAGAGATGGATTTGTTCTGTAATATTAAGAAAAAAAAAAACTATGTGTTGTCGGAAGGCAAAAAAAAAAAATGGAAAAAAAGTATCATGAAATAAACTGTGTGAGCCTTCCTCCCCATTGCTACATTGTGTTCGACCCTTATTTTTGTTTTATTTACGTAATACCTCGATCGGCTTTACTCTACGTCGAATTGATCGGTGAAGTCAACATGTTGGTCACGGTATGGATCGGACCAGCAACTTGTGCCTGAAGAATGTAACGGTCGACCGCTGCGCTACATATTGAAGCCTATGACTTTATTTCAAATTCTATGCTTAAATAGTAGGGGCGGAAACAACGGTGGCGACCACCCACGCGGCCGATAAGAACACACTGATACTATGCGGTCCCCCCCACGCTAAAAGCAGAAACTCCGAGTTAAGTCCTCCATTACGAATCGTTCAATGGCAAGTTTTTGTTCAGCTAACTTTTTATGTTCCACAGCAGCAACAACATATAATATTCGAAGAATAGAATTTTTAACAATGCTGAGCGCGCGATTGTTTCAGCAGAGATTTTCTTCTTATGTAATAATACTACATTCGACCACTATTTTTGTATTTTTTTAAGGAGACAGACGTACGTTCGTGTTGTCGTATTGACTTTTTTTACAGGAGGAGTGGCAGCGTGTGTAGGTAGTATATCATCGCCTACTCTATCTCTCTTTTTCCGGTCTTTGCTTCGCCCCCCAATCGTTGCCGTGCGTGTGTCTACGCAACAATATACATATATCAAATAGAGTAGGCCCATGTCTATGTTGCTTCCGGCACTACATCATGATCATCAGAAGATAAAGATGGCTCTCGCACTTGGAACTTCGCAGTTAAGAAATGCGGCCTTAAAAAAAAGACAAAATCAAAGAAATTGACGACAAATAAATAATTACAACACACGTGCGTGCTCAGGCCCGACGTGGAGTAAAGAACAAGAACGAACCCGCCTTTCTTTGTGGTGTAAGAACAGAGCCCCCAAAACGTGACAGCTGCAAGATAATTCNGACGACAAATAAATAATTACAACACACGTGCGTGCTCAGGCCCGACGTGGAGTAAAGAACAAGAACGAACCCGCCTTTCTTTGTGGTGTAAGAACAGAGCCCCCAAAACGTGACAGCTGCAAGATAATTCGCACTCACGAAGGGATGAGGGGCTACTCGCGGGGTGACCGGTGGGCAGTTAGTTGCAGATCAGCGGCGAGGAGGAGGTTCCTTTGAAAATAGTGCTGGTGGTGCGGAGATGGGGGGGTTGTACTGTTTTTATTTTTGCGCGTCTAACGGTAGTCAACTATAAAATCGGGCTTACAAATGCCGGCACTCTTG